CCTGCACCCTCCCAATTCCTGGCCATGCTCCTCTTCATGCAGTTGTGCTACAGCAGCGTCTGTCTGCACCAGACAGCAGCTACCCAGGCTGTTTTCAAGCACTTTGAGGGACAGCACGCTGCTTAGGAACAGCTTTGGCGGGTGATGATTCATCCAGTCGGTAACAAAATTTCCACTCGTTATGTGAAGTGACGCTGGTTTTTTATAGCAAATATGTAAAATTCAAATATGGTTTACATTTTTCACAAGCTTGCTTTTATCTGCTAGAGGTAGACGCAGATAATTTTTAGGCCGTTATAAAGGGACTACGCTGAACCTGAGTTTTGACTAATTTCACTGTTTTGTTTTAAATACAGAAGTCCTATGAGAGCTTGTAGTAGATGCAGTTTTACTCCACCGTCTTCCCTGCTAGCTATTTAGTAGATAAACCAGCCTCCTTTATAAAGCATTTTTCATAAAACTCAGTGACATAAATCCTGCAATTAACGTGGTATCTAGAAAGATTGTCATCTCAAGGGGAAAAACAAACCCTCAAAAGCCCTTTGACAGCTGGCTCCATATTTTTATGGAAAATGTGATGGAGAATCTAGATGTTACTGAAATGCTAGCCAGTACTGATTTTATTAACAACAACGACCACATCTTTGACAGAATATCAGTTCAAATACCAGTTTTCTGTAACCTATGAGCATGTGAGTCACCAAGTGCAAGGTTTTCAGATGCAAGGGGTAGTCAGCGAAGATCTGTATACCGTATGAATCAGGCTCACCGCAGTGGTGCGTGCATCTATGTTAACAGGTAACAAGCCCAAGCCCTGCTAAAGCCAACCTGTGGTGAATAGAAAGGGGATTATAAAGGAGCAGATTTGCTAACATGAAGCTTTCCTCTTGTTAGAGCAGCCACATAAAATCAGACCCCCCAACTAGTAATCTACAGTTGAGTAAGTCTAACTTGCTTGACCTTGACTGTTGGCTCTTGCGACCACAAATAATCAAAAGATAAAACCTTTATTTTTAATTTATATTGACCATGTACAAGACATGGGCTTTTCATTTGTGGATTTTAATATTTTAGTTGTCACATTCAAAGTTTCTTAGGAGCCCACAACCATAGATACCTATTTTTATTGGTGTCTGAGAAAGTTGCGGTGCCAAATGCCTTTGATTCTCACTCTAGCTTGCTCCAAACCCGCACGGCAACTCTCACCTTTTTCTTGTCTAAGTCTGGTAGAAATGGCCTTTTTTCCCCTGGACAAACCGCTCACAAAACATTCCTCAGATGGGCCACATATTGCTACTAATTAACTCCATCACCATTATAATATGGAGTGAATAGACAGTAAAGCAAGACCTCTGCATCAATTTATCCTGAGTACAAGTCTGGTATCTAGGTGTGTGTGGTTTATTCCTCTGTGCATTACTTTTGAATAGACAAGTTTCATACCCACACTTCAAGAAAGAATTCTTTGAATGAACTTAATTATTAAAACCTGTACACCTTATTGATTGGTTTGCACTTGAAACATTAACTATCCTCATTTACAAATAATCCTTCACTGAATTGAGAAAGTAGGACAAAAAATTATGGAGGGTTTACATAAAGTTATAGTTGCAGAAACTTGCAAAGCACCAGAAAAATATTAACTAAATTTTGCAGTGAAGTGGGAAATATAATGTTTAAATAGCCATTTAGCACTTCATATAGTTTTATTTCAGGTCAGCTGCAGCTAGGGCTTAGCAGAAGTTAAGGATTCTTTTTTTCTAGTACTAAAGAATTACCTCGTTGAGTACTACAAGCCCCTTAGCTAACTTTTGTTCTCCCGTAAATAAGAGGAAGGTAATGATATCAGTGAATACAATTTCTATGGAAAAGCAAATTTGCTTTACGATTTTTTTCTTAAGCAATTTAATTTTATGGTTGCATTTACATTCTCAAATTACATGTAGATTTTAGTGTTACCATGTACCTCCATAAATCCCTTCTCAGGTTTCCTAATAACAATTAGAGAGAGGTACCGGGCTTGTTGCCGGCTACTCAAGCCTGTTTTCTCACACAGAAAGGGTTTTATTAATTAGAAGTGATGATGTATCAAGAACACCTGTCTGGAGCTTATAAGGAATACTCCATAGCTCCTAAAAATTCACATAGTCTGTCAACCCCTATGAATGAACATCCAGTTTTTGTTAGGCAGAGTAACACACTTAATATTCCTGTGATTCTCAACATTCACAGGGGTTTGCAACCACTCACAGAGGAGCCCAGAAAGCCCTGCACAGCTAAGGGCCTTCAAATGACAGCCAAAACAGAGAGAGAGAAGCACTTGGAAGTAGTTTTGGAGCCGCTTTACAAGATTTTGCAGGGCTTAAGATTTTCTTCTTTTTAATTCTGACCAAAGGAGGGGGCGGGAATGGTTGACTATGATGTTTCTCAGTTTTGTAGCTTACAAAAGCGTTTGGGCAGATGGACTGCTATTGCAAAATACGCTCAGATATTTTTTTGAAAGGTGAATGCAGTTCTTAAGCTGGATGACACCAATACAACAGAGTCAATGTGTATCTAGGCAGCACCCTGATTTTCCATTTGTCTTGCATTTTCTTAATGGCATCCTTCCTCTACCTCATCTCACAGCTCCATATCGAAAGTTTATCATGGTGACTGAGAAAAAAAAGTAATCTCTTCCCCTCGTGGTTGTGCAATAAAGAGATTTGACACAAGCAACATTATAGTATTTATGACTTTGATGCATTCCAGCAAATTTTATAGAAGCAAAGAGCATTCCAGTTCAAGAAGCTGGATTCTTACTGTCACGGCTCAACATCTGTAAATCCAGAGCAAACGAAAGCATTGGAAACAGCTGCATGAATTCTCCATGGTTGGTCAAAACCAACCACCTAAAATCCTGAGGAAATCAAACTAGTAGAGTAAAAGCCAAGAGCAGAGACAGATTTTATTCTACATGCCTAGACAGTTGATTCGAGGCTTCTTTCAGCATTGTTATTTTAAAGGGAAAAAAAAAGACCAACCATCTTTTAAGGGCTAATAACTGGCTCTTTTCTAGTTAGGTTTTTAGATCTCTCTAAAATCCCTAGGAAGTTTTGTGAAGTATATGCACAACAACCTCAACAGGACAGCGGTAGAACAAAAAACAAGTCACAGACATGTGCTCTATCCTCAGTACCCTGCCTTCCTTCGCCGTGGGGAGAATTGAAGAGCTCTACTCAAATGTTTGTTCTTTCTTTTAATCACATAGTCCTTTTCACCCTTCCTGCGAGAGCTTGCTTCCCTCGAGCCTTAGATTACTGGCTTGAAAGCAGAGTATCTAAAGCCTTGGTAGTTTACTTAAATTGAGTTATCGACTCATACATGAAAGAAAAAGGCTAATAACTGCCAAAATAGACTTATTTATAGCAGACCTAATTAGATTTATCTTAACCAGTCCTCAAGTATTTTTGTCAATAAATATGCCCTCTACCTGTGATATCCACCGCGAGGAATTTGTTGGCCACACTTTCTGACTCACCTTGTGCCTTTGTGTAACTCGGCAGTGTTATGGCGTAGGAAAACTCGTATCATGACAAGATTTTTCATGACTGTGAGCAATAGCTCGGCAACGGAATTCTCCTTTATGGGCCTGTTCCAAGAACTGTCAAAAAAACCCTTCCAGTTCAAGCAGGACATTTTTGTACACTCCCCTGAAGTGGTTTAAAGAGTCCAATTTCTTTGTCAAGGTTCTCAGGGAAAGAAGGCCATTTCTCAAGGCACACAGTATTAGTCCCCAACCTATCAGTCACCGTTACGAGACAAGCCTTGAGAGTCTGATGGCTGAGGTCTATTACCCGCTCACAAGATTGATCGCAGGCCAAGCTGCAAAGGAAACGTGAGATTTCCAATCAGTCTGACAATCTTTTAAATTTCTTCAATACCGTAGTAGAACAGATGCTGCCTGGTACACAGATACTCATCAGAAACTACTTTTCATTTATGATTCCATAAACAAAGCCAAAAGGTAACTACGTCTGCACAAACCAGGAAGGTAAGGCCCCTCTCTCCCGATACCCTCTTAACCCCAGCTCGAGAATTTCTCTTCTGCTTAATGAGGAAACAGGTGTGAAACAGCAGACTATGCAGTCACTTCAGACTGTGCAGCCCTTACACATGCTTAGGTAACAGTGTTAACTTTTTTTTAGGGTAAACTAGTACTACTCTAGAGCAATCCAGTCTTTTCATCTCCTAGGTGAGATTATGTGAGAAATTTCTTTGTATCAGGGTATGTAAGAAAATGCAAACAAAAAATACCAGGGAGGAGTTTAAATTCAGATTTAAAGAGAACATGAAAACAACCCAAACATTTCACTAGAATGTTATAATTTTACTACAGCATTAAAAGAAACAGTATTAAGCATGTCCTGGATATGGCATTAATAGATTTTTTTTTTTAAATCTTGGATACTGTACCTGTTAAACAGATACCACGACTGAAATTAATCATAAGCTCATACAGCCTTAATTATTCCCAAGTATATTCTGTTGCAAAGGAATCTTCCTATATTCTTCAGCATATCTGATGCACAAAGAGTTCTGCAGCACTAAGCACCCCTGTAATGACTCGTGAGCAATTTTTTTCTTTACCTTGCACTGTAATCTGTCCTTGCATTTACTTCACCAATCTCCAAAGGTGTACATAGAAAAAAGGGTAAATATAAAGCCAATTCTTCTATAAAACCTAAAAGTAATTTTTTTCTGAAATAAAAAACTCCGTAGTATTGATCCAAGATAATTATACTCAATTATCTTCTTCCTTACAAGAAGCATGGCAAAATTAGCTGGCGATAATTCTCCCTTTCTATTTTTAGCCTCCCTCCCAAAGAGTCTTTCTGAACTGAAAGAGAAAAGATGTTCCCAAACTGTGAATAGAGCAGTTTAAATTGGAAATAACTGTCAGATGGTTTTGATCAAGGTAGTCTATTCCAATGCCACAAGCCATTTTAATGAATGTATGCTTAACGAGAAAACTGCCGATTGTCAGATTTCTTGCTAATGTGTTTGAAGATTTTAGCTTTGTGGACGTTCTTCGACCTCTGGTATCCAAAACCCCCACCTCCACCTCTTTTCTGTAGTCTTCTGCCGCGGTTGCTGTTCACGTCTGGAATTTTGTTGGTTAAAGAACTTCAAAAGGAGTAGTTTGAAATGTTGCTTTTTAGATATTGTAAGAGTTATTAACGGGAGAAAAAACATAACAGCATTACACAGCAAGTGGAGTTGCATAACTAGAGAAAATGAGAACTTTGTGCCTGTGGTTCTAAATAATGCTGTAGTCCTCCAGGAGTCCAGCAAAGTTAGCTGAAGTATACTGCTTCAAATTCCATCATAAACTGGCAGGTTTGACAGGCATACAGCCACAGTCTTCCATTTCATGCTCTTGCCCCTCTATTTCGATATTCTGCGATTACTAAACTTAAGCACACACCTTTCAATTAAAATACCTCTGCAAGGAGGAGGACAGTCTAGAACGTGTATGCAATATTCCAGTACCTGCCACCCTGCAGCAACTGAAGCACACACATGCACTAAAACACGGACTGTAAACAAATACCAGAACTGCAAAAATTGCAATTTAACATTTTCTTTGATAAACCATCCTTGGAGCATAATGCATTTATGAGATTAATAGAAATAAATCAGAATTTGAAGTGGCACAGGAACTTCACTAAGTTGTATCTAACATTTGTAAAGCAGAAATTCAGCTCTGAAACAGTGCAGTAAAAGGATACTGAGGTCAACAAACGGAGGAACTTTAAAACCAAATGAAAGGCTGACTTTGGAAAGATCCAAGTTATTGACATCATAGATCTGCTTCAGAGAATGGGAGTCATAAGCTCTGATGTACGCCTTGTATGCTTCCTGGGCTGACTTGTGAAGGAAGTAGTTCTTCTCGATCAACTTCTCCAGCTGGTGAAGGGGAAAGAACACAAAACAAGAGACACACCCAATTACAGCTGCGACAAGTGTATACATTATATTCGAGCAAATTATTTAATGTGAGAGTTGCAGTGACACTCACTGTTTGCTTCAACAAAACTGCCCTGTGACGGTAGTGCACATATGTGTGTCAGAGTGCTGTTGTAAACAAAGAGAGGGACAACACAGCCTGAAGCTGAATTACAGTACAAAACCCCAGCACCATGACAGTTTACAGAAATTAGAAGTAAATTGGGTCGTCCCAAATAAGTTCATCAAGAGGGAGGATACAACTGCAGCCACACAATGAAACTGCATGCGGAGAATCAACGGACGACAGTATACTTCTAATTCAGACACCTATACGGTACCATTCCATGTAATTCTATACATAACCTTGTCTATGATGGTGCAAATGCACCGTAAAATAAGCTGCATTAATTCTAAGACAAAAATGCAGATGCACTAGTGCAGACCGAAACATTTCATTTGTTGCAGGCTAAGTTCCCAATACCCTTTAGATCCAAGCGTCTCATTTGATGTTTAGCATACGTTAATTCAGCAAACTAAAAATAAGTTACATTAGACATCACTACTTCCTAATTATTCTTAACTAGGAGCCTCTTTCTGTAAGGACTGTCTTCACTGCTTCTGGTACTTGCTGTTTCAAATTCAGATTTCTGCACAACAGCGTCACAGAACTCGTATCAAAAGAATGATTCACAGAACTAACCAACAGACATTCTCACTTGCAGAGCTACCTATGCTATTCTGTTCAACTTTGTGCTCCATGGCTGTTTTTGTAGCACTGGAGCAAAACCAGGTTTAGCTGATGCCGGGCTTTATTAACGCCAGCTAGTTAAAAATACACCCAGAGTATATCCTAACATTTCTACGTGTTGGTTCTGGATCTCCTCCTGCACCACTGAAGTCTGACCACAACATCTTGTAAAACCTATGTTACTTGCGATTAAACTGAACATAGATTACCTATTTAATAAAGGCTACCACAAGCCTGTTTGCTACACCACACAAGAACATTCTGTTCCAATGCTGAAGGCAGGTTTACATCACTGTGATTTCGCCATGTAATGCAAAGAATCAATTCTTACAAGCAAATTCATACTGTGTAACAACAATTTAGTACGAGATGCTAAAATTCATCTTTGCCTTTTTAACATTTTAGCACTTTACTGTCATCAAGGGACAACATGGCAGGAGGATGTACTGCAAAGTACTTGTCTACAGGAACATTTCCAAAGCAGCGTACAGATTTGTAAACTGCAATCCTTACAGACTAACATTCTCCATGTACACTATGACACAGACATTGAGAGTTGCTGCAGTATGAAGGCATTTCATACCTGAGACTGGATGTCTGAAATTTTTGACCAGGAAAATTCAAACTCACTTAGAGGTACCTAAAAAAAGAGAAATAAATATCAACATGATTTATACTCTCTAAACAGTGAATGTTAAGACCTAAGACAAACAGAAAGAGACCTGCTACATAAAAGCTTTTTTTTTGGTACCACACCTGTATCTATAAAGTGCCTTTACATCAACATGCCAGTATTATCACTTCCTTTAAGCCAGTATGACACTTATACTGCTTTTGCTCTAGAAGCTATACCCCTTCAGTTGCAAGTGGGAAAACTCAGTAGCGTAAGCAAGCCCACAAGCAGAGCAACCAAGAAACTATGTGCAATTCTACCATTAAAATGATCCCATCCCGAAGAAGCCTAGCTGCCTGGTGAAACTGAACAAAATGCAATTGATTCTTTGAACAGAAAAAAGAAAACCTCCACAAGCGACATCTGGGTTTTTATTTCCTCTGGATGGTCAAGCTCCCGGTATCCTTCCGCAGACAGATCATACAAAATTTGTTTGGTTTTTTAGTAACACAAGTTGCACAGATGCAAAGCAACTATAAATACAATCAATTTGTACCTTTGGGCTGCTGACTTGAAAGTCAGATGTTCAGTTAAATATTTTCTAAGCAACAGAATGTTTTTTGCTTAAAAAAATTGATTAATTATGACAGTTTTCTCCTTTAAAAACCCGCTGTACATTAAAAAAGACAGACATGGGTTTACCCTGGCTTGCTTTAGGTAACGCAGAAAGCCCAGTTCTTCTGGTCGTAGAATGAGCAGAGCGTGTCCTCTACCATTTATGCCTCTGGCCGTTCTACCAACACGATGAATATATTCCTTTGGGAAAGAATAAGAAACAGCAATTTCAGTCAGTCTGTCAGACATGTAATAATAAAACAGCTTCAAAAAACCCCTCCCAAATTTAACACTGATGGAGTGTAATGCATCATTGATTATTTTTTCAAGACTTTTTCTTAGCACTGACACGAGGATGAAGAAAACAAGCACTGAAGATGCAAAATAACACGCTGAGACAGAACCCCTAACTAAAGTATTTTACCTTTTACTGAAGGAAAAAAAAAAAAAAATCTTGGTCTGCTGTAACTGAAAATTAAACTTTGCTTTTGGTGCATTTGCTCTGCACATTTGTCAAAACTTGAGTTTTGCTTGTTTATTCTTATTTGAATAAATGTCCAGTGTACTGACTTTTGAGTAAAAAACAAATTTCCACTGGAAAAGCTGTCAGGAGACTCAGGGATGCACATATAAACCCATACTCCTCCTGAGAAGTGCTTTGTTGTTTAGCTGATTGGATTTTAAATTAATTCAACAGCCCAAAAAGTAATGTTTTAAAAGCAACTCTTAAGAAGGTAACGAAGTCTCAGCTAGACACAGCATCTCCTAGGAGCTGGTGAAGGGAAGTGGAAGCCATCAGCAGCTACAACACGGCTGAATCCTGACCTCTGTCAAGCAGCAGTTTCAGCTTTTCTCTGCAACTATGTTCACAGATTCAGAGTGGAAGGGGTTGGAAGGGACCTCTAGAGATCATCTAGGCCAACCCCCCTGCCAAAGCAGGATCCCCTAGAGTAGATCACACAGGAACAAGTTCAGGCAGCTTTTGAAAGCCTCCAGGGAAGGAGACTCTGCCACCTCTCTGGGCAGCTTGTTCCAGGAATCTGTCACCCTCATGTCTGTAGCTAGGATTTCATTTGTTGCTCTGAAGTTTCTCTGTTTCCTTAACTTACTTTTGGATCATCCGGAGGGTCATACTGGACAATCCAGTCAACTTCAGGAATATCCAATCCTCTGGCAGCTACATCAGTGCACAAGAGTATTCCAGATTCTGCATTACAGAACTGGAAAAACGTGGTAGTACGTTTGGTTTGTTTCTGCTTGCCCTGAAAGGAAACAAACACATTAAGGATGAAATGCCAACAGAAGAAACCAAATCATCTGCCAACTTGTAAGCTTAAGGCTAATTTCTCATTTCACACATTGTATCATTGCCCAAATATAAAATAATTTAGGGGATCTTTCCATATTACGGACTTGTACAGAACAAGGAAGACTATTTCACAGTGGAGAAACAATGCTACCAGAGTAAACAGCACAGGGCTACGTGAAATGGGATCTCTCAGAGGTTACACTGTAACTGTCCTTTTAGGAGGGCTGGTAAATGCCTGAAGTTCAGAAGAAAGATATTTGCAAGTATATCAATATATTTGTTACATTACAGGTTACAAAAAACCCCACACACTTGTAACAATTCAAAGTATAGCAAAAAAAAAATCCCCCAAAGAACAAAATAAAAAAGGACATTTGTAGTCAGCTGTAACTATTTCATAAACTTTCAGTCAACTCTTTCTCTTGCACTACGCATTCTGTGGTTTTGACAGCAATTAAAATACTTCTCCAAATGGTAAGAATTGGCACAGTAAAGCCAAACATGACCCTGGCCTCAGAAAAAGCACCCAGCACTCCAGGGGTCAGAGTCTTTGGACAAAAGCTTTGCTCCACAAATGGAGATTTAGTGTTCATAAAAGGTGACCCTTGGAAGAAAACAGAAAGCTTTGTACACACAGAGCGTAAGTTAATATCAGTGTTTAACTCTGCTTTGGAAAACAGCAAGATCAACAACGCTGAACTGTCGTTATTACAGTCTTTGCTTTATCTCCTTCCCCTACAGAGTAATCAAGATCATCATCAGTTCTGCAAGCAGGGTACCTGTTTATTAGAAACTGGACTGAAATAAACAAAGCAAAGGTAAGGTCATTAACAACTTACAAGTACGTCAGGTTAATTAACAAATGAATGAAATACTTACATGAATGGCCAAAACAGGCAGATCAATATAGTTGAGTAATTCATAGTGGTACTTCACTGACATACATGAAGAAAAAAATACCATTAGTTTCTTCTTCCGGTTCTTCTTGAGGAATGTGAAGAGCAAAAGGAATCTTTTTTCAGATGGACACACTACATACCCCTGGAAAATTTTTAAAGATTGTTAAAGAAAGTAGTGTGCAACAAACTTCTGTTTCGGCACTGCAATTAAATCATGGAAGTGTTATGTTGTGAATACCAAATAGTTGATTTTTCCAGCTATTACTGGGCCACAACATTCGATTTATTGTCTGTCCCTCACTATGGTATATGAAATTCCTAAGATGATGAACTTGGCAAGAAACTTACTGTACTAACTTGAAATACGAAACGGAATTTTTAATTAATTCTCTAAACTAATGTTAAGTTCAGTGAATAGTAGTTAGTTTATACAATAAAAATTTATTTCAAGAACTCTTAATTACTGACATTAGGCATGAAAAAAACTGCACAGGATTTTTAACATTATTTATGATTTTAAGAATTTTATTTTATGGAATTCATGCTACCAGCTTACTCTTTTAAGGTAATACATAGGTACTGGTAATTTAGTAACACCACTCATGACAACTGCACAACCACAGAAACTGCCGTAAAGCTCCATTCAGCTATTATCGGAAGCAGCAGCAATGAAATATACCTGAAATATACATATCTGTAATCAGTAACATGGAAAATACAGTTAGAAAGACAACTGGAGCTTATGTAGCTGATACAGACATTAATATAGTTACTTACAGTTGTCTATTCCTATTTCATGAGGTTTTATATGATCCGTCCTGCAAACACTGACTAAATGCATACACCCTACTACAGTTATCAAACTGAATAAAGCCCTTTAGGCAATGGAGAGCTTTTGCCCATTAGGATGACAAACACCCTGGCTCTCAGCATTTGTACAACCCACTTAAAAACACGTTAGGACTTGGTATGTTCAGAAATCACAGTCCCTTTTAATGAGTGTGTTAAATGCGTTTTACCTGCTCAAGACCATCTACTGTTGCTGTCTCCTTGTTATCATCAACCCCAACGTATAGTGGCTCTTTCTTCAGAGAGATCTTTGCCAGATCTTCAACCTTTCTGGTTTGTGTAGCAGAAAAAAGCATTGTCTGTCTGCGCTCTGAAAAAATATTTATTTGGAAAGACAGCCTTGTTTTTAAAAGGAGAATTCAAATAGCAAGTCCATAAAATCTCTAGCTGCAAACTTCCCTGAGCAAGTTTTCTATTTTTTTTTTAATTAAATGCTAATTCAAACACACTGCTACTGACAAAGAAAGACAGTTGTAGTTGTATTATGGACTGTACAGGATGTTTACTTACACTGCCCCCACCCCCAAATCTTAACAGCTATCAAAACACAGGATTTCCTTCCTAACAGGACAAAACCAAATTAAACTCTTGCAAAGTAAAAATTTCTTTTATCTGTCGTTTTCCACTTCACGAAGCACATGCCATTTTCCAACTCTTCCTTCCCTTTCTGTTTTTACCACTGCTCATTAACATTCACAGAATACTGTTCATTACATTTACATATCTGCATTTTAAACATGCAGATCTAAATTTTAATATTTACGATGTGGAACCTTAAAATATTTATTGCTGGTTTTCTTTACACTATTTCCATGGGACATTCTTTCCTGAATTTTCCAAGTCAAAGGGAGAGCCTTGTTGACTCTGAGAATGTATTTAATATATCAATGACATGGAAAAACTAAATGAAAAATTGGCAAAAGAAAAATATAAGGTAAATAAACTTCCTTAAGATACTGTTCTTTGAGGTATGAAGAAAATTCAAGCTGCAAGTCAGAAGACCTTTTTCCACATATTAGGAAATAATGCCTTATTAGGAAATAATGAATTGCAGGAGATAAACGGGCAGAAGAAGATGAATGAGAAAACGTAGATATTAAACTAAAAGGATTGTATAAGAACAGAATTATATCTCTAAGTGCATATGAAAACTCTGTCCTTCAAAGTCATATATACTAGCTATCGGAAAAAAGGACAGAGTAAGACAACCACTCTGAAGTACATTTACAGAACTATAAAAATTAATGACTTCTGTTATAATAATTGAGTCATAAAGAAGACATAATGTTAGTCAAGTGATTTCCAGGAAAGACTTTTTTTTTCTTACTTGGTAGGAGTTTTATGATCTGTTTCATTTCTTCTTCAAATCCAACCTCCAAGATACGATCTGCCTCATCAATTACCAAACACTGCAAGTTCTTGTACATGAAACCTGGAGTGTTCTAGAAGATTAACAAATTCAGAATCAAACAGGGACAGGAGTTTTATTATATTGTAGTAATGCAGATCAGACACGAATATTTTATTTACCTGCATATGATCCAACAGTCTGCCTGGTGTTGCTACAATGATGTTGATTCCATTTCCAAGTTTCTGTGCTTCTGCTGATCTGTTACTGCCCCCCATTATCAGACCATAGGTGTGAACATGATGATTCATGAGTTCTTTAAGAACTCCGTAGGTTTGCATCGCCAGCTCTCGTGTAGGTGAAAGAATAATAACACCTGTTCCTAAACAATACATCAATCGGACAAGAGTAAGTTGCAACTCATTCAATCCTCCTCCTAGCCATGTCCCTAAATGGCTGCACCACAGTAAAATTCAACTGTGAAATGAAGCCTTACCATTTCTGGGCATGAATTTTAGTTTGTAGATGAGCTCTACTGCAGGAATAAGAAACGCAAGTGTTTTGCCACTGCCAGTTTTTGCAGCTGCTAAAATATCCCTGTAGGTAGAAAAGTTAGAAAAAGATTCATTTAGTTGATCATACAGAGAAAAGAACAATCCTGTTTGCAACAACTGTTGACAACGCAAAAAAATAAGACTGCTTAAAGGAAACCAGCAGAGTTGGTACTAAGAGCTCGGTGGCAGATGCAGTCCACAGCAATTGGTCACTATGTCTCTAGTGACAGTGTGGGATGGTGTCGTTCAGACACACTGACAACAGACTTCCCTGCTTCCAAAGCTAAATGCAAAGCAGTTTCCACAGCTGACCCTAAGTACGTGCTCACACGCAACACAGACCTACTCTGTTAACTCATCGTAATTTCTATCAACAAAACATATAAAACAACGTGAGCACGTATGTTTCACAAGTTTAGCTGCAGAAAGTCACACCTCACGCATTCAGCCTGCGAGCGCAATTTATGTGACATCTGGGGTCAATACAGTGAATAAAGACCAGATATATTTCGTACCTGCCTTCCAGAAGTGGCTTAATACTTTTATGCTGAATTTCGGTCATGTGCGTGAACCCCATGTCGTTTATGCCTTTCAGGGTGTTCTCACTGACAACACCCGCCAGGGAAGTAAAAGAATTGTCTTCAAAAGCACCTGGAGTGAGGGAGGAAGGGGAAATTAAAAAAAATATTCAAACTTATCTCTTCAATTCCACGTATCATCTGAGTTTGCCCAGTTAAAATTAACATAAATGGGGGAAAAAAAAATTAAAGCAGAGGACTTTTTCCTCTTTTTTTCTACTGTAAAATCCGCCTACTGACGAAACACTCTGTATTAATGTGTTCCTATGAACACTACACAGAGCTGTTAAAAACGAATATGAATGCACTGCTTCTCATGTTACATTTACTAGTTGTACACCTCCATCTTGCTCTTCATTCACTTTTTCTTCTACAGTTAAACATACACTTTTTTTAAAATTACTACTGAGAATCTGGTTTACGACAAACCAGAGTGTGTATAATGCAAATTTTAAAGAACAGTAGCTGAGCAATAGCTCTACAGTTGCCAGTGTCACATCAGCTATATTCAAATACCTGACTTAAAAGCTAATTTGAAAACTGCAACTTGCTCTGGAAGAAAGTGTTAGAGCTTAGATTTTTGCACGTTTGAAAAACAGGGCGCAAGATACCTGTTACACCTAACGGTAAACTGGGCACTTCATCCTCCTCACCCTCCTCCTCCTCTTCTGCTTCTTTCTCTCCAGAATCCTGCTTAACTTCATCTTCTACCTCCACAGATTCATCTTCAGTTTTTACTTTTTTAGTTTCCGTATCTGGAGTGTAATTTTACAGACAACAAGTCAGTTAGAGACACAAAGGACACGTTCTTCATTAAGTTGTTCCACAGTGATTCGCTTTCATCTCACTTACAAATGTTCTGAGTTTTTCATGGGGTGGGAGAGGGGGGGGCTGGAGAAGGGGAAGCAAGGTTTCCATGGAACTTTCTGATGCAGAGAGCAAAAAATTCTTATGTTCCTTCCACACAATCCCCTTCACATAATAAAACAATTAAGCTTAATGTATATGGAATGACGTTTTCTATGGAAATAAGATAAATTATCCTTAAACAAATTATTTCCAATGCAGACGGCAAGTTTCCAACACAATTTGTGCTGAGGACAGGTAAAATGCCATGTCTCTATTCCATTTTAAGTACCTGAATCCTCTGAGCATGAGAGCATCTCTGTATCTGCCTATCTATGAAAAGCGTCACAAAAACCAACTATAGAAAAGAGAGAAGCTTCAAATACATACACGTGCATACGTATCTATGTGTCTAAAACCACACAAGAATCTAGCAGTATCTGTGGGATGCAGTTTTTAGGGGTAGTTTCCCAGTATACTTTAGTTTCTCAATATTCAGGTGTTGCTAAGGCTGGATGCGTTGCTAAGACAGACCGGCTGGACAGGCAAGCACAAAGCACAGACCGCGTCTGTCTGCCAAAGCCCGACTTTGAGAGACAATCTATCTGCATAATAAACAAGCAAAACATCCAAACTTAACGTTACTAAGCAGAATCCTGCGCAACAATTAAATTGGTGGCTGCCGGTCTAGTACGTATGATATTTCAAGTGTTACAGTACCATCTTCTTCATTAGCCGCCGCTTTTCTCTTCTTCTTCTTTCTCTTCTTCTCCCCGCCGCGGGGGCCGGCAGCATCCGCGCCCTTCA